CAGCGAGGCACAAGGGATTTTTTGGATTTTTCCCCAAATTTGGGGAAAATTCGGAAAAGTCCTTGAGCCCCAATACATTGGGCCGATGGAGAAAACGCCGGCGCCCCGCGGGCATTTAATGCGGATTTTCGTAAGGCTCTAGCTGGACGGGTTTAGAAGCAAATATCGAAAACGAAAAATCGCCATCTTCAGGCATCCGAAAAAAGGTCGGTATTCGCTTTTTCGCTAAAACTGGATCTGGAGCCGACCCTGTTGCCCAGAGGGTCGGGCAGGTGGGGGCCGCCCGACTGGACTAGCGCGGTCTTTGTCTGGTGCATTGCGGGCGCCGGGCGCGTTTGTCGTTGCGTCAGCGGCGCTGACCTTGGGTGCGCGCGAAGCGCACAGGGCCGCACTGGGCCCTAAATTTCAAAATCACTTTTTCTCAAATCTCACCCAGAAGCACCGCGATGTTGTCGGCTTTGGTCTGGGCGGCCGCCTTCGACTCCTCGTCCATCCAGTTGGCCGCCTCGATCACCTCCTTGAAGGTGCTGCGCAGGTTGGCCACCAGGGCGGCGGCCTGCAACCAATCAGAGCTAAGCGCCGGGGGGCGGGGCCTAATCTGGTCACTCACCGTGCGCATGCTGGTGGTGTTGAAGACGCGCGCTTGGTACTCGTACGTCACCGCCAGGGCCAATGAGAGCGTGCCAGTCGTATCCATGATTTTGCGCGCGCAGTACTGCCATCTGCAAGCAAAGAGCGACGTTAAACAGGCGCAGCTGGTGGGGCAGCGCCCCCTACCGCGGGTAGACGGTTTTTCCGGTTTGCACCAGATAGTCCTCAAAGTCCTTGCGGGTTTCCACGTCACTGTCAGCCGCTGTGTAGGTGAAGGCCCGCAAGAGGGCGGCACTCTTCACGATCTCCCAGTCGTTCATGCGCACCCAGTTGAGGATGCCGAAGAGCATCGTTTCCATTTCGAGAGGGCGCAGGATGAGGAAATCGGCATCGACCTCCACCTGTGTGTATTGGAGGAGGCGGCGCGTGTACTCCACCCAGTCCAGCTGCAAGAAGGCCACGCCTGCAGTGAGTGAGTGGGGGCGCATTCGCCAAATTGGCCAGAAGCCCATTTTTTTGAGGATTTTTGGTAGTTTGAAGAGGAAATTTGTCGATAGGCGGGTTAGGGGGCGGTTTGCGGCAAAAGTGCCAGGGGGTTTTTTGGGGATTTTTGGGCGGCCGTTCGAGTGGCGTGCTCGGGATTTTTGCAGCATTTCGGGTTTTGGAGATATTTGGGAAAGCTTGCCTGCAACAGCGCATTTTTGCGAATATCTTGCAAACAGCGCAATTTTTCGAAAAAACGCGCACTTGCGAAAAAATCGCCGCTCGACAGCGTCAATCACGGGCGAAATTTGAAGAAAATCCCGCAGTAATTTGTGCCTCAAAAAAGCGAAAACCTGCCTGCAACAGCGCAATTTTGCCAATATCTTGCAAACGGGGCATTTTTTGAAAAAAACACGCACTAGCGAAAAAATTGCCGTTCGACAGCGTCAACCACTGGCGAAATTTGAAAAAAATTCCGCAGTAATTTGTGCCTCAAAAAAGCGAAAACCTGCCTGCAACAGCGCAGTTTTGCGAATATCTTGAAAACGGGGCATTTTTTCGAACAAATCTGCACTTGCGAAATCATCGCCCCTCGACAGCGTCAATGGCTGGCGAAATTTGAAAAAAATCCCTCAAAAATTTGTGGCTTAAAAAAGCGAAAAACTGCCTGCAACAGCGCATTTTTGCGAATATCTTGAAAACGGGGCAATTTTTCGAAAAACCACGCACTTGCGAAAAAATTGTCGTTCGACAGCGTCAATCACTGGCAAAATTTGAAAAAAATTCCGAAGTAATTTGTGCCTCAAAAAATCAAAAAACTGCCTGCAACAGTGCAATTTTGCGAATATTGCGAATATATTAATAAAAAACCTGCACTTGCGAGTAAATCGCCCCTCGACAGGGTCAATCACGGGCGAAGTTTGAAAAAAATCCCTCAATAATTTGTAACTTAAAAAGCGAAAAACTGCCTGCAACAGCGCATTTTTGAGAATATCTTGAAAACAAGGCATTTTTTCGAAAAAACCTGCACTTGCGAAAAAATCGCCCCTCGACAGCGTCAATCACTGGCAAAATAAAAAAAAATCCCGAAGTAATTTGTGCCTAAAAAAGCAAAAAACTGCCTGCAACAGCGCATTTTTACGAATATCTTGAAAACAGGGCACTTTTTCGAAAAAACCTGCACTTGCGAAAAAATCGCCCCTCGACAGCGTCATTCACTGGCGAAGCTTGAAAAAAAGCCCTCAATAATTTGTGCCTCGAAAAAGCGAAAACCTGCCTGCAACAGCGCAATTTTGCGAATATCTTGGAAACGGGGCATTTTTTCGAAAAAACAGACTCCCGGAAAAATTGCTTTTACGCACAAATAGCGGGCGCATTCGCCATGTGGTCTCTCAAACATGCACATACCTGGACAGTGTTGCCGAAGTGCAGCGCCGTCCACTCGTTGAGCTGCCGCAAGGTCACCACGGTGGCGCTCGTGTCGTTGACGATCGGGCCAATCTCGGTGCCTTCCGGGATATACTGGAATCAGCAGGGTCTTAAAAAAACATTAACTAAGCAAAAAGGGCGTACGCCTGCGCTGTAGATTCCTTTCAGGAAATTGGAAACGTTGGCAACGCGGCCATAGAGATACTCGTCGCTGCGCTCGCTTCCCATGGCGCGCTTCAGTTTCAGCACGAGTTTGCGCAGCAAAACCTCCATGGCCGGAATGGTCGATTGCGTGCTTTGCACGCGCTGCGCCGTTGCCGGCTGCTTCACCATATCCTGGAACCCCTCCTCAATCGCGTCCTCGTACGACTCGGACGCCATTGGCCGGAACTGCACGGGGATTCCCATCCCGTCCGACGAAATCTGCAAGACACATCCATGCACGCCCTCTGTTCAGGTGAAATCCGCACTAAACTACCCTGAGCAGGTTCCTGGACGCGTTCAGCGCGTCCGCATAGAGGCTGGGCGTGAAAAAGATGCTGATCCCGAACTCGGCGGCGATGTCGGCGATCTCGTTCCAGCTGGGCTCGGGATTGGCCCCCCCGTAGCGCCCGCCCAGAATGGGGAAACCCCCGTACTTGTTTACCACCTCCACTTCGGGGGACCGCAAGCCGATCGTCTCGCTGAAGGTGCGGTCGGTGCAGGCCTGGAAGGCGAATTTCGCCTTCTTCACCACGGCGGCATCGTCCCCTCGTATGGGGGCGGACAGCAGCCCTGAAACAATCATGCTGGACAATTGGGTGGATGCGCCCCAAGTATTAACGACGATTTTGCGCTTTTGGAATTGGCTTCACGGCAATTGGGTGAATGCGCCTCGTGTGCCAAATTTCGAGTTCTGGTGGAAAATAGCGGTTGTGAACAACCTCCTATAGGGCGCTGAAGCCCCAAGTTGTCTCAGCTACAAGCTAACTCAATCCATTGGGTTCAGAACTGGCGAAAATTGGCTGGTTTTGCGACTTCTGGTCGGAATGGCGGATGCGCCTTCGTGTTTTTCAGGCAATTTTGCGAGTAACTGCTGGTTTTGCGCAACCGGACGCAAGCGAGACCCGCC